GGAAAATGATTTAGAAATAGGACAATTTGGACTTTTAGAAGTTGATAACCGTGTGGTAGTTCCAGTTAACAGTCATATTCGTGTATTAATCACTGCATCCGATAAAATTCATATGTGCAACTGATGCATAAGCAATAATACGTTATAGCTGTCATAAATACACACTTGCCACAATTGGCAAACATCTTATTCATGCCAGTATATTTGAGCACTGCATGCAATCGTTTGGCATGAGTCTGCATATTCGAATCCATAAACCCAACACAGAGACTGCCCTCGCTAATTTACAAGCACCGCACAATCCGACCTATATAGCTGCATCGCCAGATGTCAAACGTCGGTGGTGCGCAAGAAAGCCCACAAGGTATAAGCAGCCACTCTCAAATTATCCGACTTGGAAAGATAAGCTATGTCCTCTTTTCTTATAATCATTAAATCGTATCAAAGGCTCGGTCAGGAGTACTAAACAATGTGCTGAAAACCACCGTGCAGTTTCTGCTTTTTGCTTGTTATAGAAATTGGCTTCTATGCTGGAAAGTGGCTGCGTTTAGTTTACCATTCATTTGCACAACAAGTAACTTGCTCTTAGCCGTTTTACATTAGTGAGAACATTCGATTCTTCTCATCCATTCGCTTCGTGTATCACGGGTCTATGTAGTCATACTGATTCATTGGAATGGCATATTGTTGTTTGACGCACTAGTTCATGATAGCAAATCTCAAGACACACTTTTCAGTCCGTAAGCAACACGGGCTTTAGGTCAATAATTGCTGCGTCGTTTTATTTTTTTGAATAAATTGGTACGATTCTAAACACAATTGCGACTCTTTTACTCAACACTTTATAGAGCTCGCCAGATAACCGACAGATCATTGGCGGATTATGAGCTAGCACCTTTACGATAATAAGCGTACCAATTTAGCAACTTTGGTGTCTTGTAACTCAGCGAAATCATTCCTCAAGGATACTTTGTCAATCTCAATGAGGAGATATGCCCGAATAAATCACATTAACGTCTTTTGAGTATCCATGGTCTCTTGATTCACGACTGAATTTTTTTCCTATAGCAGACTCGCAGAGCTTCACTTCTTTACACGGTGGGTGCGTTGCACGATATTGCTGACCCAGAAGTATCATTAAATCGTGACAAGAATACATTAACCGTAATAGTTTCTAGACCTATCTCTAAGTTGCGACTAATGGGTGCCCGTCACCGTCGAAATTTGCTAAAGTCGAGAGCGGTAGATTGAGGTTTCTTTGCTAATGTCTTCGGAGGGCTAGACGTTTTTCCTACGCAACATCTCGATACAAATTGATCGCACCTCGATCAGGTCGTTCAAGGTGTGTATCGTCAGCGCATTCTAATTAGAAACTGGTAAATGCATCCAGGCAATCATCTGCCGCTTTTATTCAATAGGCCGCCAGTTGTGCTAAACTATCGGGACCAACTAAAGCCAGGAGTCATTTATGCTTATCTAGTTGTATTGAAAGCTGATAGCCAAACAATCGTGAATCATTCTCGCAGACGATGCAGTGTCATCAAGAAATGGCCATCAAATTCACGTCAAATGCTACCGAGTGTGAAGGGTTTGCTTCACTTCCATAGAGACAGGTTTTACTCAATGAGTCCCTGTTTTATAATCACAGAGGGGTGGGCTTAAACGCTAAATCTCAACGCGGGACAGAGAGTTTCTAAAATCATTTGTACGTAGATGTCTTTATATTTCAAGATTATTTAGGCTGATTGATACTTGTTAAAATTGGGATGGCTTACTGTCAATTGCGCTGGCGCGCTCAGACCGTCTGCAGAGTCCGGCAGAATCAATCGTCTCTTTGTTTGAAAGTTCTCAATGCTTACGCAAAAGATGAGCCAACTAATGCAGGTATTGTGGTCTTTGTTAACCGTCGGTGTGAAATGGCACATCAATCTCCTAAGCGAGACATTACATGGTGAGGATATAACCCACTATTCCTTGGCAAAGTGTTCCGCAACATGGCTTGGCGGTGGTCGTTGGATTGGAAAAAAAATCTGCGCTTTCCAAATAGGAGGGCTCACACAGCATATTCGCTTAGATTTTAGCCCAACGTGTATGGCGTAAGATCAGACATGTTCACTGTTGGTCGTCGACAGACACATGTCGGATAAAGGGGGTACATGCGTGTTGATGAACATCCTACAGAAACCTTGTGAATAAAAATTGCGGGGCTGAAAGCAATTTGTCCCCTCCAAGACATTGCACGACACATGCTTTCACCGATTTTAATCCAGTATATATGGCCTGCTTAAACCCTTGTCAGTTGGACACCGTCATGAAGTGAGTAATATAAGGTGGGACTGCCGATGCGGATGCCGGCTCAGCTATGTTTTATAGCAAAATTACAGCTTTCATAAGATAGCTTTCAGCGTTATGTGCCACGTGCTAGACGTTTTGAATCACTGCAAATCGGATAATCACAGCCGAAAATCTATGAAGCGTTTGCAGACTACAAGATGGAGTTTCATTTGGACCAATTACTTTCGAAGAAGAAAAGGATTTTAGCTTGCGACTTATTTGTTTTGCACAAAACCGTTGTTTCTATGTGAGCTTGTTGTATCCATACCACCCTTACTTCTGAGTCGCTGCTTTCAAAACAAAACAGCAGCTCAACCATCACCTGAAGACTATCTACCTTCTGCTCTTGTGCCCTTTAATTTGCCGCTAACTTTTCTTTACGATGGCGGATTTCAGATAGTCCATCTAAAACAGCCTACTCTCAGTTATATCGCATACCGATCCGATCCGATCAGAAAGAGTCTTCGTGTCGTCATTATCAAAAAAGCCCACGAGATCCGGCCTCCGAAAAGTCATTGTCCGCCGACTCGACGACTCAAAGAGTAAGGGGTGGCTCGCTCACATTTAAAGCAAAAGTCAATCGGCAGATTCGCCAAGTCTGGAAGCAGTAATTGCAAAGCGAAAGAAGTGTTCACCTTTCAAGAGACCATGAATGTTTTCTGGTCCCATTTCAGCAAACTTCCAGATGCTTTTGCGACTTACGCCTTGGCGTACCATTTGTGGCTAAATTCACATAGGGCAGGGTCGCCGAGCGCAACGCGCTGCTAAAGGCCCATTGATATGTGCCGCTGTCCAGAAATAGCATGTCGTTTTACCACCGGGTTTATAGAAGTGCTGTTGAAAGAAGACACTGGAGGCGGTAAGCTTCCTCCTCGAAGTCCACGGTGCAGCAGGGCTACCGTAGCGCTTTGCCTAGAGGAAGCTTACTCAGGTCCCCGACCTTACGTTCTATACGAGAACCAGTATGAGCAATCCGCTACCTCCGAGATTACCCAAAACCTAAACCCAAGGCAAATATTCCTCAGTTCAAATTTGAAAACTGTATTTATCTGTTTTATTCGCGATAGAGCCACCGATGTTTAAATTTCTAGGTTTTCCTAATTAAATAGCAAAACCTAATTAATATGCGTAACTACTGGTGTCCCACCACGAAGTGGCTTCTTGTTACGGTGTAGCAACACCATTGTGTGATCACACCGTCTTGTGTAATCCATACTTTTGTACGATCAAACCGTCCTGTGTGACCCAATCTTTCATGCCAGGGTACGTGTAACCCCATTACACTCACCCCATCAAAAATTCAAACATCTACAATTACAATTTAACTGTCGCCTCGTACAAGGCTCGCGTGTCTAAGATACCTTTACGTCAAAGAAGTCTGTGTAAACGACACAACAAACACCCAGCACATCCTAAGTTGCTCCAGAGGGTGCGTCCGCGACTTCAAGGAAAACATATTCGTCACAGACGACGGATTTCCACGTCGAAGATTTGGATGAAGTCGACAATGAGTCGGATAATCCTATTTCAGGATGAAAAGAAGAGGAGGGCGAGGTGCGCCAATGGCGCTTAGTGATCCCTGCTCGAACCTTGCCGCCACCGTGTCCGTTTCCCGACCTCTCGACTTCCGGGGAAGTGGAATCATCACTAATTGTCTCGACGAGGCACAGGAGCAGCTGTTGGAGGCTGCCAAAATGGCAGCTCTCATGTGCTAGCATCCACGGTCGATCCTCAACTCGAGTGATTCGGCTTCTGCTTGGTGGATCCCGCTACTGAAGCGAAAAACGCGATCACTGAACCGGGAGGCGTCTATATAGTCGGGCCCCTGGCCGCTACAAAAGCCGATCTTGACCAACAAAACGCTCTTTGATCTTGACCAACGAAAAGCTTTCCAAGCTCGCTTCTTGCTACCACAAAAATCTCAATGGATAGCAACCGCGCTCGACTTCACGCTCAAAGAGAAAGCGCTCCTGTCCCCGTGACGCGGACGATTCTTGTGGTGCTCACCCTTGGCAAAACCGCTGCGAAGATGAAGAGTTTTTTTAGCGATGAGTGCAGCGGCTCCGGGAAATTTTTCTTTGTCTTCTTGACAAGGAAGCCACACGGAAGTATACGTAGAACGCCATCTTCGACGAGTTTGCCAAACTCGAGGCGCAACGCCGACTTCCTACGTATCTTACCCTGTAACATATGAAATGATTCATCACGCTACCGCGAGGTCTGTGGTTTCTCACCCGGCTACGTCTACAACCACAGCAGTTCAGGGCCATAGCTTGAGCTCAGCTGAAGACCCTTCGGCTTCCCGGCTATTGTCGAGAAGCGCGGGGCGTACGACGACGCGGAGCGTCATAACCCCTCCGGTCATAAGCGTCCACGACGTCTGGGCAGTCTTGCCGAAGTGGCACCACAAACAACCACGTGTTTGGCGATCTTGGGTGGGAAAGCCTTTCCAAGCTACTACGACTACAAAGGCAATAAGCATTACTCAACCAAGTGCATATTTGCGAAAGTTCTCGAAGTTTGGGTATCCCCGCCACTTCACAAGATTTCGGGTTTGACCCTGTCGATGCCGTCAACCCACAAGACGTTCCACCTGATAGTGGACGTCGTCGAGAAGAATTGGCGGTCGATCGCCGTCCGGTGACCCGCGATGCTCTTTGATCTCGTGAGGACAAAGTTCGCATCATTGACTCTCCGTTAAGCATTTAGCCGGAATCGCATATTGCTGTGCGGAAGTCCTCGAGAGCTTGGAATACTTTGTGACCCGACTTCCTCACGTTGAAGAATATCGCGCTCTGACGAGAGGGGGGAGGCTCCTAGCTCCAACAGTTGCTATAGCTCCGATATAGCAACTTCTATATCATCCTCTGTAACTGAGCTACCCCTATTTCCAAGTGGCGACACGTTTTTGAGCCGCTGGCGGTACTTCAAGCTAGGCAGTGCGATGAAAATAGAGCTAATGGGTACCAGCAGCAGCAGGTGCTGCTCACGTTTACGTATAACGTTTGGTGGACCGGTGTGTACTTCAGGGCTGCTATTAGTACCTGATGGAGTGGACGGAACAGTATTATGAAACCTATGAAAATTTAAGGCCCCAGCTTTGCAGAATCACACTGGTGCATTGGCCGCCACAAACTTTGTGCGTACAAACTTTATTGTTGCAATACGAGCGCCTTTGGGCGCCGCCTCGGTGCCAACGCTTCAGCGTTCACCTGCGCCGGATCCCAGTGCGGCTTAGGCAAGTTCACATAAAACACCGGGTGGGTGCTCATCCTTCTTGGAAGGTTTAGCGTATACGCAAGGCCTCTGACCTTAAAGTGATCAATAAACCGAGGACGGATCTTTGTCTTAAAGACCGCATAGATCGCATGTGTAGAAATGTTTTCAGCATTTAATAAAACCAGGTCTCCTACCTCAAAGTTTTCAAAACTTCTTTTGCTTCTTTCTCCGCATATTCTGTCTCAATGCCTTGGCTCACAGCCATCGAATGACCTGAGACATCCTCAGTCTGCCTCTGCCGCCCTTGGAGAAGAGTCAGAGTCGCCTGTCGCAGCGCATTTTAGTTAGTGGTGACCGATCTTGACGCTTGATCGCTAGTTGTTACAGCTGTCCGTTACAGACCAACGGTGCTGTCAATAGGCTGTCCGCGGCGTGCTCAATACTTTGCAACGTAAAACATGAGTCGACGCACTGAACTGACGTTTGTCTCGCTGAAGATGCCTAGAAAAGCATTGATGCGGGTCGGACGGCGTGTTTTCTGCGTTTGATTTTTATCGGCATTTTCTCCACCCTCACGCTTCGAGGATTTATCCATGAATGATACAAGTTTCCCCAACCGCTTCTTAATGAAATACTTTGATTAACAACCTTATTAAAATTATGAAATATTATAAAAACTATTACCTTTTTTTTGCCCTGCTACTCTAGGTGAGCCGATACATTTGAGGAGGGATGAAATGCGAGTTTTAAATTCGCTCGCGTAGCCACTTTTTGGTGCCCTTTTCGCTCATGATGTGAGCGATGGTCAGCATTTAAAGGCTTTGCACCAGAAACGTGAAACTATAGACGAATTCAAGCCATACATTGCAGTGATGTTTTATCCAAGAGGCAGCTTGACGCTTGCGCTACTGCAAGTGCAATTGAGTTAGGTTTGAATAATCAAACCGAGCCAGTCATCGTCGTAAGCGTACCGGCGGGGTATCGCAAAATTTCCACAATGGACAAGGGCACGGAGGTCATGAGTCATACAGAGAGGGGGCAAATTACGGTACGCGCCTCTTCGCTTGGCCGTCTGTTGTTTGGTCAGAGCAGAAGTTCTTAGTGGGACTTGTTGAGCCACTATGAACTTTATCCATCGGAAAAATACCTCGAAATCATTACCTCAAAGTTCTTTTAGCGCGTCGGTTGTAAGGGCCGTGGCTATCTTTAGACTCGTCGAGTCATTTGTTTGGATGCATGGGAGGGGAACATCGGTTCAGATATGCTATAAGGAGCTAGTACGGTAAACTGCGAAGGTTGGAATCAATTTTCAGGTGCAGTGGTTGCTCGTGTAGTGTTCGATTTTGGCTCGTGAGCACCAGTGCTCTCTACATCTAATTGAATGTTTTTATAAGTACTGTGATCATGTGTACTTAAACCTCTCGCTTTTGTTACGATTGTATCTGATCGAATCACAATTGTGAATGAGAACATTCATGAGTATTGAAGTATGTGTGTTTGTTTATAAAGGTGAAGGAGGAGATATTCATGATGTGTTAGACACTACAGATAATTGTATCACGAGAGACAGTAAAACGTAAGGATTTCTATATTGCACTGAATCTAACATGTGTATTCTTAAACAGTCGACACGAGAGGCTTTCAGTTCCACTTCTACAAACCAAACCTCTGAGCATTTCGTACATATATCTTTGAGTCAAAGCTTTCTCTGTGCGAAGCGCACGGCGACACCTCTCAGAGGTAGTCACAAAGCTGTCTGTGGTATATCTTACGGGACAGCTATGTATGTAGTTTTGAGCAGTAAGTCAATCTTAGAACAGTACAATCAAACTCGATGAATTTTGTCGTTTCAGCGCATTGTTATGTTCATGAAGTCCGGCAGTGACATAACATCATGCTTCCGTCAGGCAAACACTTGTTTGTGTTGTTCACTGAGTTGTATCTCACTCAGTCTCACCGTTGTGATTCATTCGATCGCTCCAGCCGTTTACGGCAACAAATTTAACGTTACTCTGAATGACAGTGTGTTTATCACCCAAGAGTAACTTTTAGATCAATGGCAAGTGCATATGTTACGAAGCTGAAGTTTCCAATTCTGTTTTCTTGTGCACGCAGATAGAGGCGTTTCCTTCACTTTCATTTTTTCCACTATGGTAAGATTTGCGCCAATCCTTACAACATTGGTACCTGGATTGAATGCAATCGTCGACTACCATCAAATGATGCCCATTGATTTCTATCCTTCCTTCAACCAACTTAAATCTTTCTGTCCTTCTTAAACGTCTTTTTTTTCGTCTTGAAGGGCGCAGATTCATTAATACGAAGCTGGCTCCAATCCGGTGCCGTTTCTCCATGGTAGCCATAGTCAAAAAATAGCTCTTCACCCTTAGCAATGTCTTGCTGGGCCCAAATCGAAATTCGATGTTCACCTTGAACAGTCATTATCTTGCCTTTACACTTCTTGTTCACTGTTGAGTGATTGGCAAATTTACTTTTATTGCCCTTGCGAATGGCATCAACAACTGAATCATCATTGACGTCGAATAGAAAGCTAATGGTCATTTTGTCGTAAATGCTACCACGCCTTTCTGCTTCATCTTGCGAAAGGAGCGCGCCGAGATATTCGTAGATAAATTCTCCACGCTTTATCGGTTCTAAGGCAAAAGCACCCCACCCGTGTGTCGTAGAGTATGCCATACCAATTTTCTTGTGCAGACCACGCAAAATATTAACGTTACAACAGATACCTAAGTCCACAGCGGACATATATCTGCGGTCCTCATCAAAAACCAGTGCAGCGACTTCGCTAGCACCACAGGTTGTGCATAAATCGGGATTGCACTCACGCGCAGCGATGAAGCATGGACACGCCTTAGTTCGGCAATTTCCAAGGCTGCATCTACACCCAGGGAATCTGCATGTTGAAAAAGGGTGAATAAAAGCTCGCCTGATTCTCCTAACGATATAGACTTTACGAACCTATTGGGGCAGTCGCGTGAGCACGAACACGCCTTGTCGCACGTATGGTCGCGAGTCATACATGAGCAGTAGGTCGGATCGCATACTCCTTTGTGATTACATGGTTCGTACTCATGGTTTACTCCCTTGCTCTTCAAACGGTTGTTTTTTGTTCTGTTTAATAAAATACGATTGTTATCGTTGCGTGAACTCTGTGTTCTACCACGCTTACGACCATTGTGAATTAATCGCCCATCAGGCAAAAGTGGAATTTCATCATCCAAACTGATCAGATTAGAGTTGGTGTGCCGATCGAACTCCAAAAATGCCTTCACCTCTTTACACGTGGTTGACTTGACCATCGACGAAATGATGCATGGGTTCTCACCGATTACCCTTCGAAGCTTTTGAAGTAACACAATTTCAGTCTCGCTCACAGCACTCACATGATTCTTTTGCTCATCACATCCAACTGCAGCATTGGCAAAATTGTCGGCTTTCCAGCAGTCGATCGAGCAGCTCTCATTAGCATTGAGAGACTTCTTGACAATGGCACTCACATAATCAAAATAAGAATCGTCAAGATACTCCGACTTATCCGCCACGATAGGAAATGTTTGCAAGCGTGGGGGACGAGACGGATTTCTTTTCAACGGCTGTGCAATTTGTTTTATATAACATTGGGTCGCCAATGAGTTGCTTTTCGTCGCAGAACGATTAGACCGACGAGTTTCAAGCACATCAGCAGCGATCAATTTTTCGTCGCAAGTCACAGTCTCAAGATCTTCTTCGATCACTACGTCCGCAACTACAGCATCACCGGTTTGCACGACCTCGTGTTCAGTAATATCTACAGCTGAGTATTTGCCACTGCCCGGCACTTCCATGCTAACAGGAGAACTGATAGCTGAGTCACAATTACTTGAAGATTGGATAAGCTCTTCCGTGTTGTCTTGATTTTGACTCGCTGCAAGCGCAACAGCTGAAAAGCGAAGCGATGGATTAAAGGGATCGACTCGATGAGAGGGAAGTGGATGCTCAATGCCGTGCTCGAGGCAATGGTAATCGTAACACATTCGGCACAACATGTCTCGATACGTAACAAGCAACTCCGAATAATCATTCGTCGAGCGTAGCCCAAGGCCATAGCCTCGATAAGCATGGTTATTAGCGAAATTGGAATCGAAGTGCGCTGGTGGCGGTGTAAAGCGTTCGTGTAGGGTCTTCTGGCGATCACTAGTCCCATTTAAGGCTGGTTCTAACGCTGCCAGCCTCATCAGCGGAAATTCTAGTGACTTTTTCGAGATTAGATCCTTAGCTTCATCTATACGACGCGCTGCAAGCCTGATCGAAGCATCTATCTTTTGCATTTCTGCGTAGTCTGAGTACGCTTGAGTGAGGTCAGACACTTTTTTGAGCGCAACATACACCTTTTCAGTTGCACCAAACTCTCGAACGACTAAGCGCAACAAAAACTTGTTTACCTCACTATCTAATCCACTCGACAGAGTAGACGTCTTGGGCTCAATTGCATCATACCAAGCTTCATCAATATTTGTACCGTCATCATCTTCTCCGAAATAGGGTTTGTACCGCAAGACTGGATCGTCTTCTACACGAATATTAGCTTTCAGGCCGACGTAAGCCGTACTTTTGCTTAACGGTCGAATGCATGGAAGCTGATTGACATCTCGAACGACGAGCTTTCCAGCAACACCTATTGACTCACCCAATACGTTTGTGTACCCCAGTGACACCTTTTGCGTCAGGCTTTGTCGCTTCATTTGATTCAATAAAAATCTTTCTTGCAAAGAATCTTTACGCAAACGTTTGCCCTGAACTGCACACACAATAATGCACAGTATCAATTACTTACTGCAAACAAAAGACGAAATGAGCGGTAGCTTACTGCGGGATGTTAGCCACTGCATTCGATGCCTTTTGTGTGCTGCTAGATATTGTTGCACTTTTAAACGAGCTTCAACAAGGACCGCCGCAGTTTTTCGTTTGTAGCAAGCCTGAAGCCTAGGTAATTCGCGTTTTATCACATCTAGTATGCGCGTTTCTAGGTCCTCTTGCGCAAGAGATTGCTCAGGCTTGTTAAGATCTGACGCAAACGCACAGTGTGGCATCGAAATTTCGAATTGCGGCAACAGTTCACACTTGCTCTCCAAGTCACCGTCAGTATCTACAGTCAACCATCGAAGTGAATACATCTTCATTTAGAAGTCAGCCTCGTCAATTAGTGCATACCGTAGAATATCAGTGATTGATCGAATTCGGAGTCAAAAGGGGGTGCAACAGTCACATCCAATGGCAGCAAAGTTTTTTGAGAGGAATCAAAATATAGGTCTCTCCAGATTGTACTGTGTAATACCGTATCTCGTGCATTCCTTCGGTGTTTTAACTTGGTTGAAGCCAGACCAACTTGTGCAGCGACAGAATTATTCACACTTGACGCTTGAGACGACGATCGAGACACCTTAATCCCTTTCTTGTATTCCAGCTTGAGCCTTGAGTGAGCTCGCTTAGCTTTGTTTCTCTTGCTGCTTTTGCCCTTACTAAATTTGGCATGTCCAGTGGCAGATTGCGCAGACGACTCCGCGGGCTTGTCGATTCTCTCTAAGAGCGAGTTTTCAGAACACTGGGAAGGTGTTTTTAAAGTGTATTTTGTGGCTGTTACTACTTCATTATCGTCAAGCTCTGATTCAGACCAACCAGTTCCGTCAATGATGTCAATGCCCTGACTTCCATCTAATGAAGACAAAGGTAAGTTCATTGCGGCCGTTTTGAACAATGTTGATGTCGTGTTTTCTGGGTTTTGCTTCAATGTCATTACATCTTTATTTTTTCTCTTTGGAGGTGCAGCTTCATTGGCTCTTAGATGACTTTTCCTGCGCGAGGGGGCAAGCTTACGCTCCTCAACCACCAAATCATTGGACAATAGCACCTTGTTTTTACGTCTTGTGACACCAGCATCAGTGCCATTCATAGCCGGAATCGAAGATGACGACGACAGACTATCACTTGACTCACAGGAGTCAAAGTCAAATGGACACCGATCCACTGTTTTCTTCAATATTGAATTCTGCAACCGAGACTTCTGCGAGCTGTGGGATCTCGAATCAGCTACATGTGCCTTACGTTTGATGCCTATTGTCGCTTGACGCAAACTTGTCGATCCACGTTGCGCTTTTGCCTGAAGCCTCTCAAATTCAAGTTGCTGAGCTTGCAGCTCACTAAAAGACATGGCATCCGCATACATGCGCCCACAGCTGTCAGCAAATTTCAGCTGATTCATGTTCCCTGTCATATCAGTCCCCGAATCCAAAGTGACTTTAACATGCTGCGCTGAATTTCGCTTCACATTTAGCTTTCCATGAGGTGCTGACTCGTTAATAGTATCTTCCGCACTGTCAGAAGGTTCTCCTTCAATCTCCAATCTATCAGAGTTCAAGACCTTTGCCGGCAGCTCCTCACATAATTTTTTAGCCTGATTCGAGCAATTGGATTCTGATTCGTGGGACAAGATTCCAGTATCATTTTGATTCTGTACAATAGCTAGATCTTCGTCGTTAGAGTCATCGACGGTGATCACGGAACAGGTTGGACTTGACATTGACTGCATAAATCGGCATATTGTATTAGTATCGAGACATATAAGCGATATCCAAAATATCACAAGGTGTATATGATGCTAGCAACGTTAAATTGCGCTTTAATGTCGGTGCATGTGCGTCATCGTGGACTAAAAGTCGTACCTTGCCTATCGTCCGTGAGCCTTCCGTTGTTTTGCAAAAATACAAGTGCCCTCAAAAGATTTGAAAGGTACTAAGTTTTGAAAGTCTTATTATGCGATTTCACAGTAAGTACTTTCGTGTCATGACACTGAGGGCGTTACATCTTTAATTTTCCTGCACTGAGAGTTTACATGACGAAACATGTCTTGAGCTCGAAGCAAGGTTCAAGCTTGAGATGAAGGGTACACTAGATTTAGGAGTTTGAAATTACGACAACTGATAGTAGAAAGTTTAAGGCTATTACTCTGGAACCAAAGTATTTATTGGCGGTTCTGCAAAAAGCACACCACCTGGCAGCTACAAGCTTCAGTAATAGTGCCGGTACTAAATACCAGCGATCATCTTCGCACCACAATAGTAACTCAATAATAATAGCCCTCAGATGAGGATAAGAATTCTCATACGAACAACTCACCTCAAGAGTATAGCAACGAGGTTGTCGTACAATTTGCACAGAGAACTTTCGACTCATTGTCCGCGTCAACAAGCGCAGAGGTGATGAGTTCGTGCACTCATACAAGGAGCGGAACCGAGAGCCGATAAGTAACTACACTGATACTTTGCTTTGCTATTCAGGAGCGTAAGCGTAAGCGCAAAATGTGGCAGAATATGGCGATGGATTGTGGTTAGGAGTGAAAGATCGCTATTGAAGTCGAACATTTTAAATCTCTTTTTGGGGTCGAGCACTTACTGAGCTAATGTCTGGATACGGAAAAATGTTATCTGAAATGAATCGAGACTTAAGGAAAATTTCCGAAGCGGAAAGTTTTATAATAGTATAAAGGAAACGGTAGTTCTGTATGACAAACGATATGTTGGAGACTATAAGAACCTTGAGCAATAAAGACGATTCCAAATAGTAATGCAGAGGTTTGTCAAGCAGAAGTGAGCAAATAATTAACAACTAGTTCATAAGATTGATCTATGATCTCCATACAAAAAAAATGCGGTGAGAAAGATGGGAATGCGTACGTTTTTCTTCTCGATATCAATAGTATTGATGTAACGTACATTATATTTTCTCTCACCAACTTGTTGTTTTATTAAATCTAATTGGCAGTTGTTGTTGAATCAGCAGTTGGTCATGAATCTTAGTACAAGTATTTTTGATCCACCTGGTGCATTTTGCCCTAATGCCTTCTGTAATTTTACGCTCTATAACGGGGTACGCAGAGTCCCGTGGTGTATATGTACCTTACACTATTGAAGCTTTTCCCCAAGAATTGTAACCAAGCTCAAAATAATATCCAGGATGATGAGATATGGTGGGATTTGTGAAGGGTACAATATTCTTCTGAGGAGAGGCCGTGAGCTGTATGCCTCACGTCAAGTAAGATGGATAATCCGCGTCAACCGGATTTGTACGCTTCATCAGGAAAAAAACTGAGAGGTGTTATATGATTAGCTACCTAGATCGCCTTGCTTTACAAAAGTGTAATATTTTCAGGATTTCCTCGCTCAAGAAAACTGTCATATCCATTACAAAAAACTAGAAATGCGCCCTTCTCTGCCAGGAATTAGAAGTACTTTTGACGCCGGCATGAGGTTACCATGGCTTCTGTGCAAGACATATTATACATCCAGCAACAATATCGCTGAGTGTATTTTTTAGCTACCTTCGAAGTCGTAGTAAACCGCGATCAAATATAAGACGGAAAGAATAGACTGTAATTGTTGCGATCGTAAAAGTGTATCTATTCAACGAGTTGAACCTCGTCGTGACCACAGGAAATGGGCAAGGATTTGCTAACTCGCAAAAAGGTCCATGGGGACGCTAAACAGCGTGACCATCAAAAGCTCGGCTGCAAATGTTTTGTCTCGAACTGTAGAGGCGACTATATTGGCAAAAACAATATTGTCTCACTATATATAGATTGCCGGTTGCCGGCCCCAGAGTCTTGACTTGCGTCGTTCCTAAGACCATCGCTGCAAAAGGGTAAGTTGCGGGGATGGGACAGATTCCGATGATGTCAATTCTTGTAAATTCTGGCACTAGTTTGTGCAGTGGCTAGAAGAAATTTATGTGCAGTGGGGTCTCGTAAAGTGTTCAATGTGTGAGGGGTTCGAAAAACGACAGATTGTACCCTCATTTCGAGGGCGAATGTATCTCGTATGTATCACATTCTGATCAGTTGATTCAAATACATACCAGATTGACTTTTGTCCCATGGTCTCAGAGAAATGCCAAGAAGTATCAAAGCGAAGTGTGCTGAACAGAAAACGTGATTAGTACTTGGTACGAATGATAGCGATAGACGCCGTAAAGACGAGAGCTGTGTGATGCGTGTGCTGCTAGACTTGAAGATTGCTAGGTTTCTAATCTAGCAACAGTAGATCTGTTACTGTCACTAAGACCTAAACCTGGCCTGAGATCGGGATACAGTACTCGCGCATTTCAAACAAACTTGTTATTTTGGAGCCTGAGATGTTTGTACCTGGTGGCGCCTGGTGATTCAAATTTCAGCCCATTTGATAATTCGAACTTGAGTAGCTTTCTCTGTGCGAGGTGTACGGTCGCCTCGTTGTACACTGTGCAAGAGACTAAGACACTGAGACGAACAATTCCACTTCAAGATTGAGCTCAGGGTCTCTTTGATCACTGGTACCCTCATATTGACTTTATATTCTTAATTTCACTGAGTATCCTTTAGAACGTAACCCCTCTTAAGGAGTCGTGTAAGTCATGCCAAGCGCGTACTGTAGGGTTTTATTCATTACACTCTAACCCCGCTCTACCCGGCCCGGGGATTGAACCATTCTTGATTATACTGAGCAAGAGGTATCACCAAAGGATTGAATCCTGCCCGCAACTCTGCAGCAAATTGCATTCTTACCTTTTAACTGTGTTTTTCGCTAACATAGTCGCTATCTAATCCAAAAAGAAAAATTAAAAAAATGTTCGGCACGGGGTCTCCTGACTGTACATAAAACTTGACGGGTCAGCGCACAAACACGACCCACTTTCTATCCCTTTCTGAAACAAGTTTTGGCGCTACCCCCAAGACATACAGTCGCGCTCCAAGTCGATGGATATCAGATATACGAAACCTATGATCAAATAAGGTACTGGAGTTACTTAATGAACAGGAATGTGTTACAATTAAGCTGCAACAGTTTTTAACCGATATCGTTAAGAGTGATAGAGTTAAAATTCGCATCCTGTAGCGAAACATGCCGAGCACAAAATATTGTTGTTTAATTGTCATAATATTATGTGACACCCACAAATTTCGAGGCAATCAACAGGGTCACGCGCCAAAAGCAACTTCGAAACGAGTTTCTCTATCTCAAAGATCTACAAGAATAGTCAAAAGGGGGGCCTCAAACGTTTCGAGCCTCTCACTTCAAGTGATCAATCCCAACTGTTACATCTGCCATTAGATAAATACTCAAGTTTCTTCATTGATCATGATAAGTGGAGTATTTTTCACCCTCATAATGGATGATACATCGCTTCCGAAGCGGTTTAGTATGTTTGCAAACCAAAACGCATTCTGTTAAGTCTTTTGGTAGCAATATATTTGCGAGCAATATGAGAATCGTCTGATTCACTAATCAAGGATGTTGCCGTGCGCCTTAAAAGTCACCGACTTTAAGATTCCGCGGATATAATGCGTAGAAGTGGACTTCAGACGTTACACCCACGAGCGACCCGGGTGCCACAACTGTATCTTGTGTCTAGTCTGCACAGCTTAATGAAGTGTGGCGTAAATAGAATTATATATCAGAATATTACTGAATGCATACGTTTTTTATATCCCGTCGTAAATATTATCTCTTGAATGGCGGCTTGCAGCCCAAATGTACCACAGATTTTCCTTTGCATGACCAACAACTTCGTAAACTTCGTAAACTTCGTAAACACCGATAATTCGGTACTTTAAGTATGCAAATAATTCCTCTTGTCACCATGCAACAAGTGTTATAGCTATCGACCAACTGTCAAACTATCACAAGGTCGTTTTCAGCTCGCTAATGAAAAGCGCGCCGCGATGAGGTTCTCTGCCTCGTTTGCGAATGAGATAGAAACTGATGGAATGAGTGGTAGAGGCAGCACCTCCGGGTAAAATTGTTGAAGTAAAATCTTAACATCCCGTAAGCTTCTCAAGTGCGGAGAATTTTTACCTTCACTCGGTATTGGAAGCAACCCTCGTGAACCCTCCGTTCTGGCAAAAAATCCAAGTACATGTTAGCTATCTTATGCTCACCGAGGTCGACCATCTGCAGTCGGCTTCGTGTGCTCTCTTTGACAGACTCAGCGTGCATCCGAATGACAAAGCAATTTGATGAGATTTGATATCGCTCTGCGTGGCTTGCGGCGCCCACAGTTGTTTATAAACGCGTCAGTGCTGTAGTCATAATGCTCGTAACTGCAGAGTGTCTTTTTAAAGTCGACAACAGAGTGCTTGTTCGGACACCGCGGACGTTATAATATTTTTGGTCCGAACGCAACCAAGGGTAAGAAAACGGAAACGGCCAGTAGGGGCGTGATTCTTCACTGAGCCCGAGAAGAGTACTGTGTTTGCTGATGCACAAAACTCTGGTCTCAACGTGCGCGATGCACATAAAATTCTCGTTAGAAGTGATTGAAGTCGGGCAAAGATTCAGTTAACCGAGAAGTCTTTGTAGATGAATTTGAGAAACCACTAGGAGCTTTGACTGACACTGGTGCGTCAAGCAAGCGCGAGTCATAATGTTAGCCTGCCCAACGTGATAAGAGAAACGTTCATTTGTTTAGCGAATAGATCTACAGTAAAGATGTTAAAGCGAGTCATTTGCTTGGCAACAAAGATTGGCAATTTCTAAAGTAATGATGATTCTTCACGACCTCGATGACAAGCTTAATATCATCCCAGGTATGTCGTGTTTGAAACGTTGTCAGCCTAACGTTGCTTGGATGAATATGAAGATCGTCGTCAACTAGTCGTGCAGTGCATATTCCAGCTGCATGACGTTGGACTATCACTTTAAACTGCAAGGTCGTCTGTCTCGTGCAAGTGATGCGAGAAAATTCAGTCTTATCTAACCTGAAAAAGCGTCTCTATTGCACCTGAGATATCCACTTTCGGTTATTTTGTCGGCAGAAGTGGCGTTCGTGTAGATCCTGGGAAAGTCAAAGGCAACTCCGACCCCCTGAACGGAGCTTCCTAGCTCATAATACAGCTTCTAGGGTTGAAAGATGCTTTGGTCAAGCTCCGTGTGTATTGCTTGGAGAGGAGCGTTTTGTAATTTACATATCATGCCTCGCTGCGTACGACGACTCATTTATCGCAGAGACTGGCTCGGTGATTTTCTTTCTTTATGCAATACAACTTTGCTGAACACTACAAGCCAGGCGAGACGAACAGACGCTGTCTAGACATTCGGACTATGACCCAAAGTCCAGGGGCGAAAACATGCATCAGTCATGTCGACGATGCAATATTTTCAGACAATCAACGTGCAAGCTATAGTGCAGTGCGCGAAGAAATTATCGAAGGGTACAAGTCTGATGAGGCATATTAGGACTTGTTGAGGTACTTCGAAGATCCTTCCGACATATAACTGCAAGGTTTCTCCCTTCTCGCACAGGATCGCGTACTCATCGTTTTGAAGTTCATAAATAATTGTTGTAGTATGCGGCTGAACACGGAAATGCAGCAAAATTGAATTTCATTATGAAGGAGTTCTGCGCTGTCGTCTCTTACGAGTACCATGACAGCCTTTCAGGTGGTCATCTCGGGCACGAAAAGATTGATTCTCAGTCTTTCCCGGGATTGCTATTGGCCATACATGTATAGAAATGTGTGCGCAAGTATGTGGGGAGAGATTTTCCAGAGAATGAGACCATCGAGTTCCCCTCGGACCCCACTTCGGCCGTTGGTAGTGTCAGTAGAAAGCGGACGTCTTAGGTATAGACTTCATATTTGGACCTCCGCGCGACAAACATGGACGCAGTGGCATTGGGCCGATTGAGCAAGATGGGACATCTTGCGTCTGTTTCGGATAAGATCTTTGCCGAGAATACAGTAAAGATCTTTTTAGACGCTGTTTTCGTCTGGATAGCCTTATTGGGAATGTGTCTCCCCATGACGTCCGCTTCACGTCGGCGCGCACTGTTTGGACTAGTTGGCATTAAAGTGTCCATGTCAACAGTGGCACACCCTGAAATGGACGGCCAAACAAAACGCATGAACCGAGTCCTGAAGGACGTACCACGTAGTTAAGCTACAACGTACGAGGCGAGATTATTTTCTCTTGCAGACTTCTCGCTGTACACCATCACGGATATTCCGACAGGTCACTTGGCAATTTATGTGAACTATAGAATTAATCCTAGAAAAACTGCTTTAATAATGGGCGAGATTCTACCATAACTGGATGAGAGACTATGGCCAAGGGCCACAGTCCGACCTAAATGCTGTCACAGAGTTAAATGCGATTGTCGACTTAATGACACTTGAAAAATCGTGAAGAGCGGCGCGTCGATAACTATGTTGTGAAGAGAAAAGCTGTTCTGCGGTTTGTTGAAGACGCAGTTGCGAAAGCTCAGGATCTGCAAAAAGAACAAGTAGATAATAGCGTGAGGAGAACAAGAAAAAAATCACAGTCAATAATCTTATACTACTTAGCCCGATATATGTGCCTGAACATGAAGGGTCCAACTTGGGAGGCGTAAAGCATTTGACAAGATTCATTTGACCGTTCGAGTCCGTTGACCGTTCGAGGGATATCTACACGCATGCGCCTACATCTTACATTTCTTGTGGGTAGGCTAAAGTTGTATTTCCTAATATTGATCTGCCGACCCTGTTATACCTTTGGCAGATGATTGAGCATATCGTGATGCTTCCCCACTGACCAAGTAGAGCAACCAACTCTTCACCCTGGGGATTTTTCTCGGCGTTTAAGCATTGAAGGATATTGAAGGATTGCTCCATTACTGTTTTCAAAGCTGGAAGACTCACCACGGAGTGCCTCAAGAACACAGTCTGCCTCTTTGACCGAGTGCAACAGGCATCCGCGAGCCAGCTCACGAGACTTCTCGTCCCTTCGGAGGAGTACAAGTACATTATGAGCTGTTGAAACCGGAGTTTAAAACTGGACTTCAAAGCCAAGCATTGGGCGAAATCAATAGTCAGAACGTCATGTTTCGAGTTCTGCTCTGAAACAAGGTTTGAAAGAATCTCGTAGCGATCGTCAAGTGTCGAGCAATGCTGCTGCAATGCCTCGATTTGGCTGCGATGATCTCTCTTCTACTTCCAGAGTCGCTCAATCGTTTTCACGTTCACTTCCACCTTCGCAACTAGACTATCGGGGAGAGCTTCGTTGGGTGGTTATGACGGTCATTAATCGCGGAGATCGATTGACTCGCCATCGAGGAAGAAAGCAGTCAAGCCATTACACTTCTACAGAGTTCGGTGGCGCGTCCCTTCATCGGAATCGGACACGCAGGAACTTTGTCAGACCCTATGATCTGACGTGGCCCGCAGATATGAGAATCGCTTGTAGTGATGCTAGAGGCAACACTACGACGACCGGAGCTGGGTTTTGTTCGGACGTGATTAGGATTCCTACCAGTGTCAAATCGGCGAAGCTGGCCATTCATCTTAATTTTGTTCTCAAGATTCCAGCTTAGCTACGATAGACTGGTTCGGATCATCTTAATTGTTGATGCGAAGCCAACAAAAAAAGCTCCATATAAAGCGTCTTGTCTTCATCTCGGTTGGGATTGGTGGTAACGTAAAAAGTTGTGGGGATATGACGCTCAGGCAACATACACTCATCAAAGCTGGCATGTTTACTTGATCACTTTATCGTTGATCGGAAAGTCAATTGCTTCAAAAGGTCTGCAAAAATATTAATTTTCATTTGACTTTAAGGGGATGATATAATTGGCCACACTTAATAATTCAATTAAGGTATATCCATGTACCTTTTGCATGCATTGTGGGAAATTGTATAAAAAGATATAGAAATATGGTGGTTTAAATGCATAGGTGACAGCTTATTTGTAGTCGTAAACATTATGTATGATATATAATGCTGGTTCCTCCACTTGAGGATTTGATGTGGTGACGAGATCGACGTGTCTCTTTCTTTCGAAGAGTGACGTAAGTCAGTAACTTCTACTGGATGTTTCTCGCGAAAGTTGAGGTTAAAGTTTCTCTAGTTCAAGCTCTGTACACCCAAGATCTTGTAAATATTCAAGCTGAGGTTCAACTTCAGCACACCCATGATGGTATAAATTAAGTTCAAATGAGCCCAAGGTTTTGTTTGTAAAATCTTTTGGGGCCCTTTGATTTGGCATGTAGCTCCAGGAGCCATTAAGTAATGTTTATATAGTTGAATATTTGTCTACAAGGCCTCAAGAAGTTCTTCTTTCCTTCAAGTCGAGTTTGTCCTTCTCCCTTGCACAAGAGTGTGTGTGTGGTGATTGAGGCACTGTTATGAACTGATCCCTTCAAAATCATATCACAAAGAAACCATTAAGCATCGGCGTTCTGCTTACAAATTAGACGCAATTTGTGCTAAATTAGTGATAGCACGGAGGCTCTCGAAACCAGACACCCTTCACCAGAAACTTCCATCTCCTGAGCAAATTTACGACTTCGGATATCGACTTACGATAAGAAAATTGATCTTAATGACGCGACCAGCTCCAAGCTGGAACTTGCGAAGCGTGCCGTACCGCATCTTCGAAGCACTTATAAATGTATTAAGGATTGTTAAACTACGGCAGGTTTCCACCTGACACATAACGTGTGGCTCTGCCTAATGATGAGAAAATCAGAAACAAAAATTAGTAAGTGGCGCAACTTTTTCCTTCGGAGGTCTTCACGTACTAGAAAAGATTTCAGTTCAGCATTTATTGTACTAAAACGAATAAGTGCTCAAGGCGCACATGCAAACGTCTCATCACCTTAATTCAGCATGCCGCTTATAACAAATTTGGCAACAAAAAAGCTTTGGATTTCATTTTGTCTTTTAAAGACGCTTCCGGGAATACTAGTATTGTGGTATTTTCACACCGATTAAGCATAACGGCTAAATACTGCTGTTAGCGACACCGTTGCCAGCGAATAAAAAGCCGAGCAGTTTAGTGACGATGTCACTCACCACGATGATCATACTGTGGTTATCCTCGTGGATTGACAGCCGCATTTTTCATCCAAACTTTGGCAAAACATTTTTAACGAGGTTTAGAAACAGAAAACGTTAATGCATAGTGTAAAATAGCATCCAAAGCGCAGCGCAGAGCGACCACAGTGTTGGAATTTCATGATCTCACTCATCGAAGCTGCGTTTAACACCGCAGATCATGCATCTACATTCTTCACACCATAGTTTAAAAAGGACAGACATACCCCCGTACCCCATAACGTCCCACGAAGTGTTTCCGGCCTCGGTGGTGGAGAATAGTTGACACTAATCAACGTTACAGTATCAGCTCGGCAACTCGTTTCGGCAAAATTGAGTATTCTATAGAGATTGAAGGTCTTGCGAAAAGTGTAAGACGCCGCGACTGAATACAGAACACGCAGATCAATATGCAAAGGTCGAAGGCGGATGGACTATTTCAGGCCTGAGGTGGCAATAATAATGATAAACCGCAAAGTGAGCCTAAATATGCAGTGATTGTGGTCTTTAAGACAAAATGATCCCCTCGCTACGTTAGATACCTCTCCAGTTGTAGCTCAAGAGAGCCGAAATTATACTCTTGAAATTCTCGCGCGGATCATAGCACACCTCGTGTTAAAATAGCAGTAGAGTCGTGCGGCGCGACGCGTATCACACCAAAGAGTGATGCTCGGCCTTGCTCGAACACTCAATCTTGACAAGTAGTGTAGTGCCGGCTAAAATGATGGAGCAATGCTGACTTTGGCATCAACCGAAGATAAGTATGGAAGCCCACGTCGCCGTTGACGTCGAGCTTTATACTCGCACTATCAAGCAAACAATGGCGCAATACGCAGATGTTTGCTTTGATGAAATTTACGTGGAATACTGCAAACCAAAAAGGCGGCAAAAGTTATTTGCAAAATGCTCTAATTAGACCACACATTCATCGGTAGTATAATCATTTAATGTTACAACCACGTAATGACTACTCACTAACGTCCCAATTGCGGATCGAAAACTTAAGGTCTTGTGTTTTGCGGGCTCATATACTCTCAGACTGAGCTTCATCCATATGTTTAAGCTCTGTGACATGCGCCATTCATTCATTTGGTCGAATAAAACTGTAATCACGATTTATCTGACTCGGATGAAATGTGCTGTAGCCTATGCGCTTGTTAACGAACATGTTTACCTCTTTGATAAAACGTCCTGATCATCTGAAATAACAACTGACATCATTGCTAACCCAGTAGCAGAGATATTGGCTGCTTTCAGCTTTGAAGAATGGACATGGTTTACGTAGCCCATGCGAAGGTGAGCCTAGACGTTTGGGAGGTTGAAGTTTCAGAGCGAATTCGATTTGAGATGGGCGGCGAAACCAAATGGGATTTGGGGAAGATGCGATAGGTGGCCGAACCCCGGCAAGTCACTTTGACTACTCTGATCTTAGAACACATCGCATTCCTCACCAAATAACGCCTTTATACCATCAGTCACAGATACTTCGTCCTTCTTGGACGAGTCTTAGACCGTGTGCTTATATATCCACATCCAGGAGGGGTGATCGACGTGAATATCTAGTTTTTGTAGCTAAACTTAGATGTGTTTATCGCCTTGACACAAGATATCTCGGCGACAAATTGCGAAAGGAATTGCTCGCCAAAAGAACTACTCACACTCTGTGCGTTCGTTTAAGTGGTCCCATCACCTCGACATCTTCTTCTGTACAAGTTATCGCTGTAACTACGCTACACCTTCATATTTCCGAGCAAAAAGGGAGCCAAGCTTCGCTGATCGCCAGAAGAGGCAGCTCAACAGAACGCTACATATATGTCCCTTATTTAAAGATATCGTATAGATCTGCAAGCCGGCATGAGGTGATTTTGTTGTCATTGAGAGCACTACAACACCACCCCAAACTTTAATTACACTGATCACACTTTTGTCGATCAACCGACATAACATTTGTAATTTTTGATTTGAGTCACATGCGATTCCGTTGTCACCACATGTTGTGAGAGTTTAGTTTGGCAACGGGCGAAAAACGTCAGATTCGGTCGTTGTTCTATTTTCAATCGTTGTTCACGTATCTTACACCGACGATCTACCTCAGCAGCAGATACAGAAGCACTTGATCGGCTTGCTGTGACTGCTGTCGAAACGAGATTCGCTTCGTACACTTGGCGCAACCGCACGTGATGACGACGCCTACATTTTAAAAGCGAGACGAGGGTTACGAAACGAGGGCAACGAAACGAGGGTGATAAGTTCGTACAAACTCGCTCAGAGCAAAGCTGAGTAGACATACAAGAAAGCCAAGAGCTCTTGTTCCAGGAATGAGTATTGCGAACAGTGAATGGATTCTGGCGTGGTAGAGTAGCCTCCGGGGTATTGGTGCTTTTTTCAACCGTCGATGACCGATAGACTTGCCGAGCGTCCCCAAAACTGAAATCGTCGCTGTTGAGACCAATGTGACTCATGCTGTAGTGGCGGCGTATTTTTGTCTGAGCGAGGGTGATATTAGCTGCATTTCTGGCCATTTCCGTAGTGGGGCTGCCGTAGCTCTTACGCTAAGAGGAAGCTTAGTTAAGGTCGGTGACCTTCGTTCTATACTTAGAATCAGTACGAGTGTAGCGGTCGCAATCCACTTACTCCAAAATTAATTATAACCTTATCTCAAGGCTAATTACCTTTTCCGTTTACAAACGTAAACTGTATCCCTCGGCTTTATTTGCGGCAAAGCCGCCAGTATCTTAATCTATTGGTTTCCCTGTCCATATGGTGAAGCCTAATTAAATGTATAATCCAGCAAGGCACGTGAAATCTCGTTGAATCCAAAGTCAAAATGATGATTGTCGGCCGCAAAAGTCGAAAGGGATTCATGTTCTTATATAGAGATGAACTCCTCAGATTGTCGCATTCAATGCCAAAATTAAACGTCGTCGCTATAGCTGACGACGGTGTGCGCAGTAGCATCGCTTTAGTTCCCGACCGTTTACGGATGGCAATATAGTGCCTGCAAAAGCCATGAGCAATCGTAAGCGATGCGTTGATGTACTTCGTGGCCTCTTACCCGCCGTCTCCCGTGCGCGTTCAAGTGTACTTAACGCTTCAAGATCACGAGCAGCTCCGAAGTCGCCGTCGGTACTTCAGATGTTTGCGGCTTAAAAATTTGGCCCAAGAAGTGGCAGCAGTTTCTCTTTTTCGTCGTCAATATCCGCGTTGTGTCATCATCGTGGGGCGGCCGCAGTGCGCACGATTCGGACCAGGAGCTCGAATTCCATTGTTATTATTGATGGGCAGCAATTAACGTTCAAGAGTTATACGTTGTCAGAGACAATAACAATGAATCAAGTGATGTACAACAGCACGCAATAGGAAAGAATTTGGGACACAGAGAGGAGCAATTTGAGGTGATAAAAGAGGATTTGCAAAAATCACAGACACGCGGTCTCTACTAACGATAAAAGTACCAATGGTCATGGAGTGCAATTGCTTAAAAACAAAATTACAAGTTGAGCAATAGACCAAAGCTCAAGCTGTTGTCGTCACGTCAAGGTATCATTCTAATGCAGAGCTTGATGTCAGATTAGAGTACTGAATACTACGGAGGGTTTAACGAAAGCGTTTAGGTTTGCAAAGCGTCTTGTATTTTCGAGCTTTTTTGTCCAAATAGCGTTTCCGAAAATTGTTTAGTACTGCATGATAGCGTTTCCGAAATTGTTTACAACTGCACTGACTTCTATCTATGTAAACGATGCTGTTCGGGGACTGATTATACACGCTGTCCAAGTTCGAAATGCAAAGTGCGACAATGATCCTGGTGAGCTAAATCAGTCGTCCAATTCGTGTTTAGAAATTGAAGTACGCACGTACTTCGACGTTATGGACAAGCTTAAACTTATTGTGTCGCACCCAGCACTTTAAGCTACAGTTGGATCCCAAAGCGCGTTACCGATCTAGCGGGCAGGCTGAACAACTTGACTATGGACAAGATGAAAGCGAAATAAATTAAGGTAGTCACTTTAAAGCACACTGATTATTCCCCTCAGCTTCGTATCCTACCTTAATTTATTTCGCTTTCATCTTGTCCATAGTCAAGTCGTTCAGCCTGCCCGCTAGATCGGCAACGCGCTTTGGAAGCTGAGGGGAATAATCAGTGTGCTTTAAAGTGAAAAGTCATTTAAATTTGTCAGGACTGCGACATTTAATGAAGTCCACGAGCAGTTTTCCGAAAAAAATCAATCTGAAAATGACTTACATTTACAAATGATCTTAAGAATTGGTCGTGCATACAAATTTGAGCAATCGATGATCTGACACACTGAAATGAAACGTAGGATGAAGAGACAACACGACATATATCTACGAATGTTGAAACACTTCTTTTTTAATAAATTTCCATCGAGGTTACACCATTGCTTTCGCGTTTTCTATCATTGGGCTGAAAATAAATGCCATACCAAGCCTCCATACGATTACGTTTGAAATGTAAATCTGGATCGTATCCACCCGCAACCTGCTGTTGACGACGAAGCTTTTTCGACTCGTTGATGCCAAAATTCGGACCACGCTTGCCTCCAGGTACAGGAACGGGTTGCGGGCCACCAATTACACCAGGCTGAAAGCCTATCATTGCTGCCTCCATCTCTGCTGTAACAGCTTGATCGATTGGAATTGCTGTGGTTGTTGTGCGTAACTTGGACACATCGCTTTCATCACGTTCTCCCAGTGCTACCTCCATAAGCTGTGCTTTCTGACGCTCTAAATCTGCTTCAAATTGCGAGTCTTCTTTTTGCTGAAGCTGTCGTCGCTCGTCTGCTAGTCGCTGCTGCTCGGCGATCAGTTGTGCCATACGTCGCTCTTCATCTGCTTTCTTGGCATCATTAGTTGCAATAACAATAGCGTTTTCTTGTCGATATTGTTTCCATTGTTTCTGTGCTGCCGCTTTCTCAGCATCGTCACCATAAACCAAATCAAAGACTAGATAAGCAATAATATGATTAGAAAACTAGATTTTGCGGTCGTATACGTGTACGTACTTAAATTCTCGAGCATTTCCAAGTAATCATTGTACTCGTCAAGTGTGTCAAAATCGTCCTCTGTCTTATTATAACTTTCAACATAAGAAAACGTTACTTAATGACCTTTCCAGTGTTATAATTTGAGCGTATCCTCACTCCTTGGTCACTTTCTTGCGTACTGACGTCTCCTTGACATAATTGAGCTCTTCAATGGTCTTGTCTTGTAATTGTGACTTTTTCACTGACTTTTGACATGCAGGACAAGCAATTTCTCGCTGGTGCTGAAACTCTCGCTTGATACAATGATCACAGCTGGCAGATACAGACATGGTTACATTTTAGATTCAATTTCGAGTAATGGTTATACGTCAGGAAAATATGCACGCACAATCGGTGGCCACACTTGGAGATGAGCATCTTCATCTTTGTATTGAGATAGTTACTGTCATCCTCGACAGACGTACCACACACGCAGCAGCGCATCGCCAATTCCTCCGCCTCATCCACTGCCGTCATAATTGCTGTCTCTCGTATACAATATTTGATACTAAATGAAGAGGGTTATCTTTCATCATAAATTATTATTTTTGGAAAATGACCACCAAGATGACGGCAGTAGAACGCCATGACCGAGCTTTTGCGACTGTATGAGGACGAAAATGCATTTCCTCATCTATTGCCGCCTTAGATCAATTTTCTGTGCTCTCTGCTTCTACTTGAGCCCTCGAGGCAGTATTGATTGTACCTCACAAGTCTGGGCAACTCTACTTCCTGTACGTATAGTATCTTCATATGGAAACCAGTCGACGGTAAAGAAGAAGCTGGAGAAGATAGCAAGCCCACTAAATGCAATTGAGCGTCTAGGTGCATTCCCACGCAGCTAGAAGAGCAGCTCCTGAAAGAGTAATCCCAAGGTTATGGTTCCGCAAGCCGACTATTGGCGCAGATGTTTGACTAAGAACTTCTTAGTCAAAGAATATTCAACGCGAGTATCGAGCCTTGGGTATCTCGAAGACAGGAGCAAATGCAGGATTTGGCTATGCACTGACCAAACAAGAGGAATACGCTCGAGGAACTATGAGTAATAAACCAATTTCTCCTGGAGGAGAGTCCTTTGTGATAGTAGACAACGAGGAAAAGAAAGAGGAGCAGAATTATCAGCAGAAATTGCTAGAGAATGAAGTGGAACAATAAGAAACTTGCTTGTACTAGGAGATGAAGAAGAGAGCTTAGATAGGACTGAGCTAGCGAGAGTAGTCAGGGCTTGATAGCTGTTTGCAGTAGCTGTCGAAAAGACTGGAAAACATTACGTGAACGAAGTTGTGAAGGTGGAGTCAATCCAGTAAGTCACTTCGACGTGGTAGCGGAAAATAGATCAACAAGCAGCAATCAAGAAAGCAATAGGCTGAGGTTGGTATGCAAAAGAGAAGCTAGAATGTGGGTGTTGGACTCGACCAATTGATGCAAGAGATGGAGTACTGATATTCTCGATTGGTGCAAGAAGTCAATGGGTGATACACAAAAGTCGCGAGGCTGCAACGCTAAGAGTTTCTGACGATAGTAATAGTGGTGCCAAATAGCGAAGCATGGCAATAAAGACAGCGAGTGAGACGTCAAGGCGAGGGAGCAAATTGGCGTGCGTCCACAATGTTGCTGTAAAGACAACCAGTCCGATGTTGTAATATATTAGTCTTGTTATTAAATCCCTTGTATCATTTTATGATGTAGTTGCAATGAAGAAAATCCCAAGATTTGTGAAACCAAAATTTAATGCTGAGAAATGAGTATAGGGATACCCTTGGAGCGCTAAAATAATTATATTACATTTTAAAGAAGTCACGATTTAATCAACTACCTGGCATTTAGTGAAATTTGTTTCACCAAACCATACGACCTTATCTTAAAAGCAGAATATGTGCGCGTAAGATGCCAAAAGCAAGTCCAAACCGTGGTCTTTTACGCTTGAGAGACAAGGATGGACTACTACAAATCGCGAGATTTCCGAATGTCCTCTACTATAATACCTCCTTGTCATTTTAGACTTCTTGTCTATCATTTATTATGAATGCATCTTGTGTCATAATAAGTAGATCCAGAATCTTAATGTGCCGGTACTGGAATCTTGTATACTTGATCCATACCCATTGGGACAATTGTATTAACCACAATGCGTTCCGATTGTGTTGTGAATAATATTAAACATGGGCAAAAGGGAGGCACTTTTTAATGTGAAATTCTAATCATAAATGTATGTTCTCCGGAAGAAGCAAAGTAATAATGTTGGTTACTTTGTAGGCTCTCGGTAACGCTCCTTCTAAGAGCGCAAAACCTATCCTCTGTGCACATGTTAATGTGAATTTTGAGAGTCAAAGCTTCCTCTGCGTGAGATTGCAGTGGGGCTGCCGTCGCTCTTTGCTTAGAGGAAGACAAGCTAAGGTCACAGACCTTACATTCTTTCCAAGAATCAGTACAAGTGTAGCGAATCGCAACCCGCTACTTCTAAGTACTAAAGCCTTACCAAGGCAAACGAACACTTCTGTTAAGAAACAAAACTGTTGTTAATTGTTTAAGCTGCGGCAGAGCCGCCAATATCTAGAACCTTAAGTTTTTCTAGATTTATTTTGCAAGATCTAATTGATAAAGTTGAACTACTTCATATGCATTACTACTGGCAGACCTATTGCAGCGAGGCTGCTGTAGCTTTGCGCTTTGAGGAAGCGTTACCTAGGTCACCGACCATTCGTTCTATACGTATCTTAGAACAAGTACGAGTTTAGCGGATCGTAATCCGCTTACTCCAAGAGTAATTATTGCCTTAACCTAAGGCTAATTAACTCTTTTGTTTGAAATCCAAAACTGACTTTTATTTATTTTTTCTGTGGCAAAGCCGCCTAATTTTAAATGTTTAGAATTTCCTAAATATATATGATAAAATCTAAATACATGCATAACTGCTGGTTACCCAGCCACATACCATATTCTTGTTTGGGTGCAATCACACCATGCCCATCTCGTGTGAAACACACTTCTGCTACCAGGGTACCTGTAACCCCGTTACACTCTCCCCCATTAAGATTAAAATCATTTACAGTTCCAATCAATTCTTGCCTCAACGAGGCTCTAGACATTGCAGTTTGGTTCGTTGGAACAAAACGACTTCCGTGCTCAATGGGCCCTGTGTCAACGACACTGAAGTCACCAAGTCTCGCTGGTTATGACAGCGAACACGGGCAGAGCCCAACTTCGTCTCCCGCACGCGGTGCGATGTCGGACAGTGCGTCCGCGGCATCGAGGGATGTACAGCCTAGACTCGATGAGCACGAGCGTCGCGCTCTGCGCACACTATCAGTGACGAGTGACCTCGTTGGGGATGTGGAGGTGGTCGACTACGAGTCTGATACTCGTTTTCCCGCGTGGGATGACAAGGAAGGCGAGCCGCGCAAGCGGTGTGGTACGAGCCCTGCTCGCGCCTTGCGGACCTCATGTCCGTTTCCTGACCTCTCATCAACCGAGGAACGTGGTGTAATAACCAATGACCTCGACGGGGCACAGCGGCGGCAGCTGGAAGCTGCCCGTAAGGCGGCTCTGATGCGCGCCTATCCACGGCCGGTCATTGACCCTCATGTGGAATATGGCTTCCGCCCGGCAGATCCCGTTGCGGAAGTGAAGAACGCGGTATCTCGACCATTACGCCACTACATCATCGGACTCTTGGCCATTACGGAAGATGAGCTTGTCGAACGGTAAGCTCTTCGAGCTCGTTTTTTGGTTCCACAAGAATTTCGTTGGAGGCTCATTGCACCCGTCTGAGTGCTCAACGAGGTGGCTCTCGTGTACCCGCAATGCGGACAATACCTGTAGTGCTCGCCCCTGGCGAAAGCACTACAGATGACGAAGCGCTATTTGAGCGATGGGCGCAACGGCACCGGAACTTTCCTCCTTGTCTAACGTACAGTTGAGCCACAAGGAAGTGGACGTCCGTGTGGAACGCCATCTTCGATTTTAGTTTGCTAAACCCAAGGCGCAACGCCAACTTCCTACGTATTGTCGTCCTGCAACACATGAAATTATCCATTACGCTCCCGCTAGCTCTGTGGTCTCTCATACGGCGAGTCTACGACCACAGCAGCTTAGGGTAGGTTGACATCAGTTCATAGCCCTCCAGCTTCCCGGACTATTGCCGAGAACGACGACGCGAAGCGTCATGATCCTTCTGATAATAAGCGTCTACGACGTCTGGGCAGTTTTGCCGAAGTAGCACCTCAAGATTTCACAAGTTCTCGGAGTCGAGGAATCCCCGCCACTTCACAAGATATTGGGTTTGACTTTGTCGACGACGTCGACCCACAAGTGGTTCCACATGATAGTGGACACCACCGTTCTCGTCAAGAAGAGCTGGCGTTGGACAATGACGACTTGGTCGATCGCCGTCCGGTGACTCGCGATGGTCTTCGAGCTCATGCGGACAAGGTCCGTCGCCATCGGGACTTCGCTGAGCATCATGTTGAGGTCGCATACCGCTGTGTGGAAGACCTCAAGAGCTTGGATCACGTCGTGCACCAACTGTCTCACGTTAAGGACTATCGCGCTCTATCGGAGCGGCTCCTAGCCGTCGAGCAGGCGAATGCGTCACTTCGTGCGACGGTGGAGCACCCGGCGCCGTTGGAAACGGAGTTCGTTGCACACCGTGCTCAATCCCAGTTGCAGGCTCAGCTTATGGGTGACCAAGCGCCTTTGGGCGCCTCCCCGGCACCAACGCTTCCGCGTTCACTTGCGCCGGATTCCGGAACGGCTTAAGCAAGCCCACATATAGCACTGGGTGGGTACGCATCCGTTTTGGAAGGTTCAGCGTGTACGCAAGCCTCGCTTGGCCACGACATTAAACGGTCCGATAACCGTAGACAGAGATTTGTCACAAGGACAGCAAAAACTGCATGGTAGGAAGGGCTCAAGCATTTAATGAAACCAGGTCCCCGGCCTCAAAGTTCTCAACACTTTCCCTACCTCTTCCGTCTGCATATTCCTCTGCATGTCTTGGCTTTTAGCCATCGCACCGCGATCGTGTTTTGAGACACTCAGTCGGGTAGACAGGAAGTCATCGACTTTTTTGCGCACAGTGAAAGGGCTGACATCAGCTAACCGCTCGGTTATTTCTACCCCACCAGGCCCTGGACCATAATATGTCGGTGTCAGCGGGACGCGAGGATAAACGGACCCGTTCACATAGAACGGCGTGTAGCTGGTAGATGAATGCACTGCATTATGCAGAGCAAACTTAACGAGTGGCAGCATGGCGCTTTAGCATATTGGCGTCTCAGCGCAGACGCAGCGAAGAACGAATTCAACGACGCGATTTGCGCGCTCAGTTTGACCACCGGTCTGTGGATGTTCCGCAGTTGACATAGTCAACTTGGTGCCCAGCACCCTGAAGATTGTAGACCAAAACTTCCCAGTGAAGCGTGGGTCCCTGCTAGAGACAATTATATACCGGAGTCCATATTGTCGAAGAACGTGATCGACAAACAGCGTCGCTGTACCCAAACCGTCGATGGTGTTCGGCACTACCGCAAGATTAGCCATTTTGCTCAAACGTTCCATAAAGACCACCATGCCCGTATTTCCCGCCGAATCCCTCGGCAGGCCAAACACAGTCCATACTCATGGATTGCCAGCAACCGGAGGGAACCGCTAAACTGGCCAGGGGCGCCGCCATATTCGGGGAGAGTTTCACCGTCTGACACGTCTGACACGTGTCCACATATGTGCTCGTTCATTTGTACAGCTTGGGCCATCAGTAGTGGCAACTCACAGAGCTGTACGTCTTCTCAC